ATGTTTGCACATGAGACCTATTGTTTAGGGCCTTTTGATGTCAATTTCAGATTAAATTCTTGTATGGGCCTTGCACATTCCAAGGAAAAGGTACTCTTTTCCTCCTCTTGTGTTCTGTTTTAGCATAATACTTTGTGAAGATGTAATCTTTCATGCATTATGCTGCCAAATATGTTGCCACTAGTGTAAGAGGGAAAATATCAAGTCATTTACTTGGTTTTAATACATTTGACCTATGGGTACGTGGGTGGGTTCCAGTGGTAGAACCAGTGGTGGATTTCCAGTGAAGAAATCCATGCAATACTATGCTGGTTATTTTGTTACAAGAAAGGATGACTGAAGACTTTAACTGCAGTGGGGAATCTTAAAATGTGGATAGCCTCCTTTCACAAAGTCTAGATATGTTCATAATATAGTTGCATAAGTTAATTTTATTTGTATTATTTAAAATAATTCCGCCCCGCCTTTCTCCTTAAAAAAGGACCCAAGGTGGCTTACATCATTAAAAAAGTGCATAGATAGATAGATAGATAGATAGATAGATAGATAGATAGAGAGAGAGAGAGAGACAGAGACAGAGACAGAGACAGAGACAGAGACAGAGACAGAGAGAGAGAGAGACAGATAGATAGATAGATAGATAGATAGATAGATAGATAGATAGATAGATAGATAGATAGATAGATAGATAGATAGATAGATAGATAGATAGATCTGAGATTACCTGTTGTACACCACCCTAAGACTGATTGATGTAGGGTGGCTTACAGATACTTGAGTCAAAGAATTAATCTGTTCCACCCTCTGCATTTTCAACTCCGATATACATTCTCACCCCACTTCTTGTTGCTACCCAGCTTGTCACATTTGTTTCCTCTTCCCAGCTTTCTCAAGCAAAACAAAACAAAACACAGTGGCATTTTTAGGTAATAGATGGTTGGAAGGACTTCCTGTCAAATAAAATAAGCAGCACAAATCCTCCAAACATGAATTACAGGGGGGAAAGGGGGTTGCAAATCTTTTCCTCTCTTATGGTGTTTGGGTGGTGGATATGTTGTTTTTTTTATTTTAGTTTTGGTTTTGGTTTCTTGAAATAAGCCTAGTAAGCAGGGTAACTTAGCAATTTTAAAAAAAATTTAATGTGAAACCAAAAAAACCCAATAGTTCCTTTCAGGGCAAGCTAATGGCAGCTATGATATTTGCTTTCTCAGTTGCCTGAGATTCTATGCAATACATCACATTTCAAAATTTTAAAAGAGTATACAGAAATGTTTATCACAGACTACAATTTCCAGCACCCCCAGTCCAGTCGGACCTGTGGTTTTTCCAGGTCCTGAATTTATAATGGAATATCTAATTATTGATCTTTGTAAGCTGATCTGGAAGCCTTTTTCTTCTGAAGAATGGGATGAAAATGACTCAAACAAATAAAAAACGTAATTTGTACGATACATATATAAGTGACTTTATAAAAATAGAAGCAAATTGTGTTTATTTTTAGATGTTTAAGGTAGCTCTAGTAATTAGAGAACAAATTATACATTTATATTTAGAATATGTTCAGATAGATAGAGAAAAAATCCCTTTGAGCTCAATTCATTAGTTCTCAGGAAAACTAAAGAACTAATTGAAATAAGGAATAATTTGGAGTTTTTACAGATAATTTTATAAGTTTCATAAATCTAACATTCCAGTGTTCCCTATTGTCTCAAGATGGCACAAAAAGAAGACAGCTATGATAAAAACACAATTTAATTCAAGTTTGACTTGATCTTGTTCCTTAACTTTGACAGCTTGGTTCTGATTGTTCCATCTGTTCGATGCATGTCTTTAAGTGAGTGAATCTTAGGAAGCAAAATAATAACCCATTTTTCACTGAGTTGACACATTCATTGTTTTCAAGTAATCCTTATTCTTGCTCTCTTCGTTGGAACATACATTCTGTTTGCATGAGCTTTTTTGAATCAATTACTACTGAAGTCATGATGGTCATGGTACAGAGGGGTAACCTCTTTTAAAAGCCCCTAGGTGGGATAACCTCTTCTCCATGGGATTAGATGTGCAGTCTCTGGGAAATTTGAAGCCATATGGGTGTGTTTTGCCCCTATTTTTCATTTTCTTCCATTAACACAGACATTATAGCTCATAATTTATGTATTCTTACCAGACACAGAATTACGAAGAGACATTGTTATTGCTCTCTGATAGATGAGGAATTAAACATAAGAAAAATATGTGAGTGAATCCATGATTAAACATATTCCCCCAAATTTGTGTCCTCTATCCACAGATCTATGCTGATACTCAGTTATAACCCTTCAGCCATCTGTACACATTCCCAGGTTTTTGGTGCACGACAAGGTATCAATCAAAATTAATGTAAGATAGTCAGCAAGCTATCATAGAAATCTGAAATATACGCCAATTAACAAACATGGTTGTCAGGATGTTGGCATTAACATTGGCTGAAAAACAAAGGAGGATAAAATATCTTCCATATTAAAAAAGGGGGAAATATCTTCTAATGTATTTCCCTCACCATTTGTAAGAACCTTTTTACCATAATAAAATGGTGAAGAATATGCATGTGAAGGTACAGTTCCTATTACTAGTGGCCCAGGAGGCTCACTTCTACCGTTTTCCCGAAAATAAGAACTAACCTGAAAATAAGCCCTAGTATGATTTTTCAGGATGCTCATAATATAAGCCCTACCCCAAAAATAGCCTCCAGTTAAGTGAAACCCCGCCATTGTGCAGCAACCAGAAGAAGATAACATGACTGTATTTGAATAAATGTAGATACAGTAGTTGTACGAGGGACATGATGCTGCTGTGAATGCAAGGTCAGAAGACCAGCAATTGTAAGATCGAATCCACGCGATGGAATGAGCTCCCGTCGCTTGTCCCAGCTCCTGCCATCCTAGAAGTTTGAAAGCATTCAAATGCAAGTAGATAAACAGGTACCATCCCAGTGGGAAGGTAACAGTGTTCTGTGTCTAGTTGTGCTGGCCACATGGCTATGGAAACTGTCTATCGTCAAAACGCTGGGTCTACGGCTTGGAAACGGGAATGAGCACCATGCCCTAGAGTCGGACACGACTGGACTAAATGTCAAGGGGAACCTTTACCTAGATAGTTTGTACATGAAAAAATAAAACATCCCCTGAAAATAAGCCCTAGTGCATTTTGGGAGCAAAAATTAATATAAGAATCTTATTTTCGGGGAAACATGGTAGTTTTTGAGGGCACCTTCACTCTGTATGTGTGTGACATCAAGGAACACCCAACTTATAGGGACCCTAATAGGGTTTTCAAGGTAGGTGAGATATTTAAGGTGCCACCCAGCAGGTTTCCATGGCCAAGTGGGGATTTGAACCCAAGTTTGATTGACTGATTGATTAATTGACTGATTGACTGATTGATTTTTATACCACCCATCTGGCAGCCAAGGCCACTCAGGGCAGTTTACTGCAAAGTTAGCAGTAAGAGTAACATCATGATGAGGATATATAACAACAGACTAAATGAAATATTTAAAAATGCAGAGCGAATAACAGTAAAAATCCACAGTTAAAACATAATAAAGTAAAATTTTAATGGAAACATGGTGGATATTAAATTATTGAGGCATTATTGTATCATGTTGTTTTAAGATCCAAGAAGGGGTGTGTGAATAGCCACGTTTTAATAGTTTTTTGAAGGTTCCCAATGAGGGGGGTCCTATTATGTTACTCTGTATATTGCAACACACTGGGTAGCCCATCATTTTGTGCCAGTTGTGCTTTGGTCTGTCTCTTCTGGAACGTAGGACTCCTTTCACAAGATCTGGAATGAGAGGAGTCACATTTGTCTCATTCCCAGTGATGTGCACTATTGGGAGTGTCTTAATGCACAAGTGTGCTAAAATTCACATTTCTCAATATTATGAAAGCATTAAGTAAATCAAGCACCTCCAGAAATGACCTAAGTCAGTTTCTTTTCTGAGTTGTTAGATAGAACGGAGCTTCCTCCTGTCTAAACTGACAGTTAAATAGTACTTCATTATTAGCTATGCAATAGTGCCTTCTACTATGCCAGTATCCTTGACTTTGAAAACAAAAGTATGCATACAGACAGAGGGGGCAAAGAATGGCTGGCTAATTGTTTAAAAAGATACAAACAACCCATCTAGTGTTTCAGGTTTTTGACTACAGCATCAATCATCCTAATTTTGAGCAATTCACATAATTACTGCAAAAGACACACAAATCAACATTTTTGTGCAAAACATAATTCTCATTAATGGGAATGATCCTTTCAAATGCCCTAAGAAATTTCTCAGCACTGAAGGACAAAAGTTAAAATTCTTTACCCTTGCCTGTGCAGATGAAGAATTTGGGCTCTCCCTCCTTTCAATCTCTTCTATATACTAAATGCGAGTGTGATTCTGTAGCCCAAAGATCACAGTCCACACACAAGATGGAGCTATCACTGGAGTTGCCCAAGTACAAATCTTAATCAGGGACTCCAGAATAGTCCAGTGAGTCCAGGACTCAGCATCCATTGTTGATGGTCTCTTGGAAGTGGGAAAAAAGAAGGAGAACAGGAGAAATGGAATTGAGTATTCTGGGAGAAAGCCTGACTGGTTGGCTGGTTGGAGCCTGGCCCACATGTGTTCATTCTAATTACTTTACCATATGAACCTGCCCAAATGGTATTGCATACTTGATAAGAGGATTCCAACTCAACATAGAAGCCCCTTTTAAAACCCTGGCTAGTATTGTCTTTCTGGTTTGGTGCAGGGGCATAGGGGGGCACTCCTTATATGTGACAGTTCCAAAAAGCAGCTGCTTTTGAGCATTTGACTGCTTTCAAAATCAGGTTCTTGACTTTCATAATTATGGTCGCAGCTCTTAACACTTGTGGCTTCCTTCTCCACCTAAAGTCATTAAACTTATGCCTCCCCATTACATTGCTTTCTTACATTGACCTGTGTTTTTCCCCCTTTGTTCCTTCCCTAGTGTGTCCATTTTGATCTTTAATACTTCTCGTCAGTGCTTTGTTGTGGTGAAGCAGTTCCGTCCAGGTAATCCTCTTCCTTTGCTTTACTTTTTACTCTTTCCTGAAGCAAAGCAGTTAGAGGTTTTGTGGCAAAATACAGGTGGGCTCATGAATAGTTGTGGTGTTAATATTTTCTTCTGCAGCTGGAAGAATTTACACTTAGCCTCCTGGTAAATTATCATGCACTAATATTCCCAACCAGCTGTTGCCATCCTGAGCCCTTTTAACTTCACTGTCTGTGTTATGCTCTTTAATTTCAAGAGGAGGGGCTGGTTTTCGTTCAAAAAGAATACCTGTCATAGTTTTATCCTAGATATAAATCTGATTGTTAATCCCAACTAAAGTAGATTGATTAAATGAATGGGAACTTGGTAAGACAAAACTTGTGGTTGTTCTATTGATTCAGTTGGTCTCTGCTAATCTAACAATGAGATGTAGACCTTACACTTCCTTTGAAGCAGAGTGGGTTAAAAAACAGTGATTCACCTTAAGTCACTGAGTGGTCTTCATTTGATTATTTAAGGATTGTACACATTTAAGGAACGTGCACCTATTGAGTGGTGGTGTCTTCTATTTACAGAGGACAGTTTTAGGTAAGAACCCATATTAAGGACATTGAAGTTGTCCATCTATACTTTGCATTTGCGAGAAATTCGTAGCCTTTGGGAACCTGTGATAGATTGTGACTGCCCAAAGATCTAGGAAGATACTGAGGAAGAAAAAGAGAACATGGCCAGGAACAGCAGAAATAGCGGGCAAAGATTTAGAAAAGATTTAGAGAAAATCCCAGGAGAGAAAGATCAGCCACCTGAGGGGGGGGGAAGAGATCATTGGGAACTACCCTGTTTCCCCAAAAATAAGACCTAACCTGAAAATAAGCCCTAGTATGATTTTTCAGGATGCTCGTAATATAAGCCCTACCCCCAAAAGTAAGCCCCAGTTAAGTGAAACCCCGCCCTCCACCATTTTGCAGCAATATGCAGCAACCAGAAGACTATGACATGACTGTATTTGAATAAAAGTAGATTCTTGTACCTGAAAAAAATAAAACATCCCCTGAAAATACCCCTTCCTTGTTTTTTTGGAGCAAAATTTAATATAAAACCCTGTCTTATTTTGGGGGGAACATGGTAGAAGCTATAAAACTGGGCTTAGAGGCTGCAAAGGGGGGAGGAACCAATGGAAGAAGAAAAGAACTATACAGGTCTGTCCAGATTTCCCCCAAATTGGGTGAATGGGTTGATGCTGTCGCAGTTCCCGTGATGGAGTTTCATCAGTTGGGCATAGAGAGCCTGAAGGAACCTGAAACTCCCAGGGACTGGGAGTATGTATTTAAAGAAGGCCCGTAGACTGAGGAATTGGTTCCATCTGAGGGTTCCCTGGGAGGAGGCAGAGAGGCATACTCAGAGTCACTCTACAAACCATCTCACTGGGCAGAGAAGAAAAAGACATGGCCAAGCCAGGAGGGATTTCCTGAGGAATCAGCAATACCTCAAGCTAAGTCTGGCAAAGTCAAAGCAGATAACCCAAATGTTCTCAACTCAAGGCCCTTGTGAGAGCCGGATCCACAAGGAGCAGGATCCACCTATCAATTAGCAAGCTGTCAATGTGGGGTTACAAGCCATCCCTGCTATGCCACCCCATGCACCAGCCTACAAAGATATACCCCCTCACAGACTCAGGAGTAAGTCTTCCTCATCTGGAGTCACTGTGGGAAACCCTTGAGAGAGGAGGAGAAACAAGACTTTATGATCAAGCAGTGACAGGAACTAGCTTGAACTCATTAGACATTGTTAAAGCTATTCAGCATTCTCCTTGTTCAATCAATCCTGTTATGTTCAAAAAGGCATTCATTTCTGGATCTTAGAACAAAAGACCAGAAACTGACTGATTTGCCTATGCACATTTTATGCAAATTTCTGTCCTGTTTTAGTTACTGCAGAAGTGTCCCAACTATCCTGCTTTTCCTGTGACTTGGTTTTTAAAACCTTCAAAGCAGCATAGCATGATTTAAAAAAAAATAATGCAGAAATAAAATAGGTTGAAACAAGAATACACAGAAAGTGGTCAGGATCTATGCGTTTGCAAGAGGAATCATGGACGTTGCCCCAGCTAATTTATAGTGTGCCAGTCTTATGACTGTTGCATACCTGACACCTTGACAATTAGTTGCAGCAACTTCCAGAATTCCTAGTAAGTACATATATATCCAAAAGATGTTGGCTGGTGTAGTCTGAAAATAAAACAACAAACTGTAGAAATAAAAATAAAGAGTCCATAGAAAGATACAAACGCTAATTTTTAAAAAGCTATAGGATAGCCTATAGGATAGTCTTAGTTTGGTCCATGCAAATGTCCCTAGAGAAGCAGTTCCAGTTTTGTTTGTTTGTTTGTATATTTTTTTGTTTCCTGACCTATATCATAGGATCTTAAGGTGGATTACAAAGCTGTATAAAACAATATTTTTAAATAAGATATTTGAAAAACTACAGAAAATTTAAAAAATTTAAACATTAACATTGCACTAAAATCTGCGCAGACCATGATCCTCAGTTCCCAAAGTTTCTCATAAATAAGTACTTCCTGACTTCCCACCAAAAGGATGCCAATGTCGGTGCTAATCGAGCCTTCAAAAGGAGGGCATTCTTCTGTTGTGGTGCTATGGCAGAAAAAGCCCCATGTCTCCGTGTAACGAACTGTTCTCAATGGTGGGACACAGAAAAGAGCCTTCTCAGTAAAATTTAATAATTGGGTGTGTTTATAAAGGGAAAGGCACTCCTTCGAATAGCTAGTTCTCAAGCTTGGACTCACAGTGGAAGCATATTGACAACCAGTGCAAATCCTTCAGAACTGGTGTCATATGTTTTCTGAAGGATGTTCCTGTTAGCAGTCTAGCTGCTGCATGTTGCACTTCCTGCAGCATCCATGTCATCTTCGGTGGTAGCCCCATGCGGAATCCATTGCAGTAGCCTAACTGGGAGGTTATCGGGTCATGGATTATTGAGGCCAAATTGTCCCTGTCCAGGCATGGTCATAGCTGGCAGACCATTTGAAGACTCTGAGCCACTGAGCTCGTATGAGTTTCCAGTGACAAAAGTGAATCCAGGACCACAGAACTTTCCACTTGCTTTTTCAGAGGGGAGTGCAATTTCATGCAGGACAGGTCTCTTACCCATCTCCTGGACATGGGAACCACTGAGCCACAGAGCGTCCATCTTGTCCAGATTCAGCTTCAATTTATTGGCCCTTATCCAGCCTGTTTCAGCTTCCAGACGTAGACGCAGCATCTGCACAGCTGAGCCGATCCTGATGATAAGGCGATGTAGAGCTGAGCGTTGTCAGCATATGGATGGCACCCAACCCCAGAACTCCTAATGACTTCTCCCAGTGGCTTCATATAAATAGTAATGGGAGCATGGGAGATAGAATGGAACCCTGTGCGTAAGAGGGTTACCCACAGGGTTCCACCGTGGGGCTGAGCAGAAGTCCCCCAGTGCCCCTCTTTGGAACTGGTTCCAAAGATAGGAACGGAACTACTGTGGCACAGTGCCTCCCATTCCCATTCTTTGGAGCCTGTGACAGAGGATGTCATGATCAATGGGAACAAAAGCTGCAGAGAAGGTCAGGAGAATTTACAGGGCTGCTCTCCCCCTGTCGTTAGGCCGGAGCAGATCACGCCAGTCAGGGCAGCTAAGATTATTTCAGTACCAAATTCTGCCTGAACCAAACTGAAATAGGTCCGGATAATCGGTTTTGTTGAAGAACGCCTGATGCTGCCCAGCCATCACATGCCCCAAAAGGGGATATTTGCAATGGGACAGTAGTTGCCGCATGCCTTGTGGTCTAGGAGTCCTCTTCTGGAGAGGGTGCACCACCACTTCTTTCAAGGCAGAAGGCACCATCCCCTGCTATAGTAAGACATTGACTATAGTAAGACTACTACTACCTCATTGACAATGTCACCACAGAAGAGGCTCTCTCTTGAGTAGACCCTAAGTTCTGATGACAGGGGCACCTATAGACAGGGTTTGACTATAGTTTCTGTATACATACTGTATGATAGATGGATTCTGTGAGAGAGGATAGCCCTTTATATTTCCAGTCATTTCAGTTTGATGTCCACTACTTTACCCTGGGATTACAAGGTACAGGTACTACTTTTAGGTTACTACTTTTAAGAGAATTTTTTGTTGTTCTTCCTGTTTGCCAGGGACTGCCACACATCCAGTTTTCTTGCCAAAAATTTAAAAGGCACACCACAAAGTGAGATTGTGACCGCCTTTGTGGACATATTTCTATGCTTTTTAACAGCATTCACATAAGTCTTACAAGCTTGGCAGGTGATATTTTTCCTTCCACTTGCTTCCATGTCATCTGCTTAATTTGCACATGTTTAAGGCAGCTGTTAAAAACATAGGAGCAAGGGCAGTAATAATGATGGCAGTCTAGAACAAAAGCTTATAGTAACGGTAACCCAGACTGGTTAGGAGCTTTCACAGTAACATATAAACCAAATCAATAGTACAGATAGAATCTATTCTTTTGATGTCCATATGTGGCTGTGGGCATTTCCTTCAGGAGAGTATTACCACAACAGCTGCCTCTAGATTAATGCAAAGGATCTTTTGCAAATTCCACCCAGCAATCTGCGCAAGGGGGTAGTGTATGTTCAAAGGGGCAGGGGGGTGATCAAACAAATATGCATGCTTTTCATAACTCCGCTGAAAGAGCAGCTGAGTTGACAGGCTGAAAGACTCATCATTGTTCACATGGTACATCATGTACAGTCCAGCATCCCAGCGGGTAGCGTGAATCCTGTGAAATATGCATGTTGGCTGACAAGTGAAAGTTGCCTTGAAACAGAAGTTGCTCCCGAAGTAGAAGAAACAGTGGGAGAGAAGACTCACAAAAATCACATTTTGTATAATATTCTCCTCCAATTTTCTAAATGACATTGATTCATCTTCCACTTAACTTCCAACATACTAAGTGGTCTTTTGCGTTCTAAATGCAGCAGTGATGTCTTACTAAAACTTCATATTGTAGAAATGACATTAAATTGGTTCTAATTATTTTTATGTATGCCCCAAAGATTCTTTAAAATCCTTCTGAAATCTGAAAGCAAGGGATTGAGTGTTACTAAACTATATTTATTCCACGTATTGTACCATTTGGGTTAGTTTGCATTAGCGTTAGATTTCAGAGAAAGTGATGGATAAATGCCTTATTCGGTGGCTGTATTTTTACCTGTTCCTGTACACCTTTTGGTTCACCACCACCAAGAAACTGAAGTGCTTAGCCATCAGTGTGGGTAGAGCCAATTATCTCATTAACAGATCTGGTTTTACCTTTTTTTTTAAGACCAGCAGAACAGTTGCTAAGTGAAGGGACCTTAAGACCTACATTTATGTTATCTTACCTAGGAAAGAAAACATAGAAGCGTTTGAAAAATCCAATTAGACTAAGGTATCAATGAAAGGTTAGGATCACTTTGACGAGTGCAGTTAGTTCGATGTCACAGGATCTGCCTTGTTCTTTCTCAACTTGAGAAATTGGATATGAGATGGGTACAATAGTTTGGGTTGGATTGTTTGTTTGTTTTGTTTTGTTTTGTTTAATGCAGAGCTCAATGAGCCTGTTTCTGATCCAATGAATGCCATGTTCACCCAAGCTCTGCTCCACTGATGTTGTTCTCAGTGCTGGCCCTAGCATTAGGGGGAGTGAGGCAGCTGACTCAGCCTGATATTCTCAAGCATTAGGCTTTCTCAAAAAAACAGGATCAAGTTTTAGTTAAGGACTTTGGTATTATTATACCGCCAGGAATGGAAGAGTCATGCTGTTGATTTACATTTCATTGTAAAATGTACACTTGGATTTTCTGATTTGGCTTTACGATCTTTGAATTGCTATTGACCAAAAATGGGGAAACTGCCATAAAATTGGGCAAATGGGTTGAGAAATTAAATCAGAAAGCTAGAGTGACCCCTGCAGAGATGGTGCATAGGCAACAAAATACCTTGTATTGGACCTCATCTTTATTTCATTTGTGTCATTTTGCATTAATATAAGAGCAGTGTGCCGGTGTATGCAAAAGATAATGGTGATTAACAAAGGTTTCCTTTTCACTTTTCTTTCAGCTGTCTACATGTGTGAGATGGAGCGAAAGTGTCCCCAAAATTTTGAGAGGAAGAACCAAGAAACCTGGAATCCACTGCCAAATTCATTGCCTGCCTCAGTGGGAGTAACCTATGAACTCTGTGCTGGTATTGTAGACAAGCCTGAGCTCTCTTTGGAAGAGATTGCTTGCAGAGAAATTTTGGAAGAGTGTGGCTATGAAGTCCCTTTAGCTACCCTGAAGAGAATTACTTCATACAGGTAAGTAGGTCAAATTGAATTTAGCCCAGACATGTGTTACACTCTGCTACTATTTGGAAAGCCATCCATTTCAGGCAGAGAAATAAAATCAAAAGAGCTACTTATTGTGTTCTGTTTTCTGTCCATTGGTAGAACTGTAATAAGCCATACTTAATGAAAAGAATTGACTGTTTTCCATTAAAGCCCTGATGGACTGCCATTACTTTGGCTTGTAAGCTGTGGTTCCCTGGGTTTCTAGGTCTGTGTTAAAAGGCCTTCCTTTACTTCATGGAGGGGTGAGTTTAGTGGCTCTTGGCACTAATTTTTTGCCAATGGGACCACTAGGACCACGAAAAAGAAATGAAAAACCTGAACATGTATAGGCTCTACACCAGGGGTCTCAAACTGTGGCCCTCCAGATGTTCTTGGACTTCAACTCCCAGAAATCCTGGCCAGCAGAGGTAGTGCTGAAGGCTTCTGGGAGCTGTAGGCTAAGAACATCTGGAGGGCCACAGTTTGAGACCCCTGCTCTACACAAAAGTAGAAACCCTGATTTTTTCAGGATTCTGGCTCCCATGTAGAAGAGTCTAAATATATGTGGGAATATCTTACTATAGACATGTTCCTTTCCATGTGTAGAAAGTGGCAGTAGAGAAAAGAGGGGCTAGTTGACCGCCGTCATGTCTGACAAGCTTATAAACTCAAGACAGACTTTAAAAATAAGAATATATTAAATGTGTTTAATATTTGATTAATATCACAAAAACATCATTTTAAGACTATGAGCAAGTTTCTTGTTACTTAAATATTTATCTTTTTATTCAGAATAACTACTGTAAATCATGGAGAGAGTCAATTATTGTGTGCTGCCTTTCTCAAGTGTACTGTTTAGAAAAGAGGGTTATAAATCTGTGGTCAAAATCCCACTGCTTAGCTTTTCTCTGGCAATTAACTAATCAGTGCTTAGATCTGGAGGCGGGGGGAGGTTACATGCTGGCTTTGCTTATGCCCAAAAATCAAAACAGAGATTCATGGCTTGCCAGCCAGAAGCCACTGCAGATTGTGCTGTTTGCCCTCCACTGGCATAACTAAGCAACAGGATAATATCCCTCTTTTGTAAATAGGGTACGATGAAGGCAGTATGTAGTAACTATGACAGCAGTCATCGTGCTGATCGTGTGAAGCCATCCTACCTATATTAAATCAGACTGCTGGGCTGCGTAGCCCGGGACAACAATAGCCTAAAAAAGGAAAGTTATCACCTTTCTTTATCTGTTACTTTTACGTAACTGATAAACACCTTTAGTTTTCTGCCTCACAGAGAAATAAACCCTCTTCCTGCAATTACTTTACAACCTAACCATTATAAATTCCATTTGGTGCCATTCATTCTTTATTATTATTTTTTTCTAAAATATAAACTACAATATAAAGTACATAAAACAAAATACAAATCAATTGTGTCCCCCACCACCCTAGTTGGGAGTTCTTGCAATAATATTCTTCTTCCATTGTCTTTATTCTTCTTCCTTTCTTGTCTTCTTCTCCAGAACTACATTGATTCCTGATTTGGAATTTTCCCTTTCCTTTTGTTAGCAGATATTCAATAAATCTACCCCATATATCATAAAAATTATTATTATCTCCCCTTTCTTAGCCTTTAAATTACAAGTTATCATTTATAGCAATGTTCCATATTCTATTATACCATTCTTCCATTTGAAATTCAAATTCTGACTTCCAATTCCTAGCTATTATTAATCTAGCTGCTGTTAATAAATTGGTAATAAACTCTCTAGTCATCATATCATCTTCCACATTTACAAATATTGATAACGAAGCTATTTCAGGATTAAGTTCTATATCTCTTTCACATATATCAGTTAATTCCTTAAAGATTAGTTTCCAAAATCTTTGTACTTTTTCACATTCCCACCATATATGAAAGTATGTACCAATTTCCTTCTCACATGTCCAACAGACATTCAGATAAACAGAGTTAATTTTATTCAATTTTGGGGGACGTGGTGGCGCTACGGGCTAAACCACTGAAGCATTTATTTGCTGCAAGGTCAGAAGACCAGCAGTAATAAGATTGAATCCACGCGACGGAGTGACGTCCCCTCGCTTTGTCCAAGCTCCTCGACAACCTAGCAGTTCGAAAGCATGTAAATGCGAGTAGATAAATAGGTACCACCTCTGTGGGAAGATAAATAGCATTCCGTGTATAGCCGTGCTGGCCACGTGACAACGGAAACTGTCTTCGGACAAACGCTGGCTCTACAGCTTGGAAACAGGGATGAGCACCGCCCCCTAGAGTCAAACACGACTGACTAAAATGTCAAGGGGAACCCTTACCTTTACCTTTATTCAATTTTATCGGGGTCAAATACCATCTTAAACTTAGTTTTAAAAATTCTTCTTTTATTCTCACAGACATAAATTGTGAAACCCTCATTTTGGTGTCATTTATTCTTAACACTTTGTGTGTGTGTGTGTGTGTGTGTGTGTGTGTGTCTTCCACACACCTTCAAGACAATATAACTCAGCAGCATGAGGCACAGTAGTTGAATCACATGATATTCCTCTTTCACCAGGTAATGTGGCAACATCACTACAATGGTATAGTTGTATTGCAGTGAAAGGACATTATCCACTTGCTTGGCCGTAAATGCATTGTAACCTAGGGATACCTTACTGGCTGGGAATAGAGATGGGCATGAACCACCAGTTCCATGATTTGTGCTGGTTCATTCTTTGGTCGAATGGTGGTTCCCAACCCCTCCTTCTCCGGTGGGCACCCATCTAGAGACAGCATCTCGGGCTCTCTGCCCTACCTCCTCCAGGTGCTGCCTCTGAATGGGCACCTGCTGGAGGAAGCAAGCCTGGAAAGCGCTGAACACCTGTTCGGCTGAAAAACAAACCAACACGAACTGCAAAAACCAGCAGTTCATGCCCACCTCTAGTTGGAAAGAAGAACAAATTACAAGTAACAAATTCTTTTTGCCTTGTTACTTCCAGGCTCTGGCCATGATGTCAATGCATTGTGTGCTTCCCTTCCAACAGCATCCATGGATGCTGAGCACGGATGGGGAAACATACAGTGGAATGGCATCATTTTACAAGTAAGTGGGGAAACACTGTATTGAAATACTATTTTCAGTAACATTCCCTCTCTGATGATGGCATACTGTACCCCTCCATGGGCTGTATTTCCCTTGTCCTTTTTTGAAATTAAAAACCAGAGGCCACTCTAGTTGCACTCTATGCAGATCCATGCCTGAAATACTTGCCTCTTCCACAGCTGATCAATGTGAGACAGTGTCAGACCACTCAGTTATGTAGGCACATAACAGGCAAACTCTTTTAAGAATAAATACATTGCGCTCCCCGAAGATTTGTCCTTTTAAAAACTAATTTGTTTCTCACAGCACACCTATGAACACCAATATTATTCAAGAATTACTGGAGTTGATATTTTTCCATGGAGCATTGCAGGATGATTTAACACATAATTTATTGCATGCTGTTTGGGATAATCTTTTTAAAATTTTTCATCTTTGCTGTTTTAATGAGAAGGCCTTTAAAAAGAATTTAATTTTTTTGTTTTTTGTTTTAAGTTGAAATCGAGTCAAGATTGAAAACAGAAGCCAACTCTGTGTGTTTGTGTTTGTGTGTGTGCACGCGCATGTGTGTAGTTTGTGTGTGTGTGTGTAGTATTTGGATTTAAGGAAATGTCAAAAATTAAATAATCTAAAATGAAAATGTGCTCCTAGCCTTCTGCCTCCCCAGATTGTAGCCTTGTAAAAAAAAAAGCATCTGTTCTCATACTTAGACATGCATATTGAAGTGAATGGAGAAGTGGGGACTTTAAAAGAAAAAAAAACTTTCTTTGGCTTTCCTCTTGACAACTCTATTGAAGTGGACACTGACATGCATTTAAGAGAAGAAGAAAAAGTTTTTTATTTAAAAAAAAGCACTTGGAATTAAATACGCATCCACAGCTGTCAATCCTGGCAAATGTCGTTTCCTGCTGGATTAAGGAGCTTTTGCTAGAAGGAGGGGGTTGGAACAGAGGAGATGTCTCTTGCTACTCCTTGGAGTCAGATTAGAGGAAGTGGCTTGCTGGATGAAAAGGTGCTTTCTTCAGCCTGAAACAAAGACTGCAGTCCTAGGCATGCTTACTTGGGAATAATCCTCACTGAACTCAGCAGGATTTGCTTCTGAGTAAACATACACAGCATCAGGCTGAAAGTTGTCCCTAATATTTTTGTCATCGTTCTGCCAATGGGCCTTTGTTGCCTGCTTGTTGAAGGAACACATGATACTAGTTTAATCATGAATGTTTGTGTCTGGTCTCTCCATTATAGCAAAAGGAGGGGACGTGAAGGAGGTTTGTGCATCTTTGGAATTACTGAAAATCACCTTGGGGTTCTGATAGTTCTTTTGAAAAGTGGGCTAGGGTTCTGAAACTCTGAACAATGAAGAAATATACTTGAAGTCCAATGAATATTTGTTCTCCCTCTTCTCATATCCTTCTTACCTTCTCTGCTATACTATGTAATCTGCCTTCACTCTGTGGCGTGGTTTGTGAATGTACAGGACAGTGATCACCAAGTAATGACCAAATGACATGACATCACTGACATGAAAAAGGGAATATGAAACCGCAGTTCTAAAGAGGAACTGTGTTACAAACTAAATGCATTTGAATGCCAGAAATAATTAGAGGCTGAAAGCATTCACTTTTCCAGAGTACAGGTCCAGACTAGAACTCCTAAATCTCTCAGTCATCATTATTTATTTATTTATTTATTTATTTATTTATTTATTTATTTATTTATTTATTTATTTATTATCCCGCCTAACTGATCGGTTCAGGACCACTCATCATGACCTTGCTCACTGGAGGATTCTAGAAGTTGTAATCCAAAAAAGTAATATTTTCAACCTCTAGGGATAATTTCTTTCTTGAAATGTGGCACTGTTATTTTAGGCTCTGCTAGCGTTCAGATTCTGAA